GTTGTTAGCTGTGTTTAAAGTCAGAGTACACATACAAATCAAAACTACTAAATTCTACAGCTTCCTTGAAAAAAAAAAGTGATATTAGTCCACAATTTTACGAGGGAACACGCGATTAATTGTTTATTATGTAAAGGGCAAAGTTTCTTGTACCAAGAAGGTCAAAAACGCATGTTAACGTGCAATGTTGTAAGTTCAGTTAACGGAAATAAAACCGTAAAACGTACGAATCAGCTGAATGAAATTTCATCTTTACACAACAATACTAAAGCAATAATACCAGCCCTGCTTAAAAACCCGTGTGTAAATCTTGTTTTTCTTCCACCGCGGAAAAAGTGAAGTCAAATTAAACGCTTTTAATAACGTGACGTACGGAGATTTAATGCGACTTTTTGTCCCCGAATTACTTCGGTTTCTGTTGTGGAATGCACAGAAGAACGGCCAAATTGCAATAGCAAAACTATGTATATAGTAGAACTCAAAACAAGGTAAGTTTTAGCAGTTTTTAATAAAGATTCCCATGGCTCAAAGCAATGTTTATTACTCAAGAAGTTCGCACTTGGTGAAAGCATCATACGTGGCCACTAATTATCCTCCTAAGACGATGATTCTCATCCTCCAAAGCGTTCATCTTTGCTCGGATACACAGATTTTCTTTCTCAAGAAAAGTCACCATTCTCTGCGTCTGGTGCTCTCTTAGTCGTCGTGTGTCACGTGACCTGTTTGCTGAACTGTTGTTCTTCTTTCTTCGTTCCCAGTAACCTTCTTCTCTCATAGCTAGGCTGGATTTATCTTCAGATTGTACCCTTCTTCGTCTTGCCTGATTTGGTTTCTTGTATCCCGTTGTTCAAAAATTTCATATTTTTTGCTGAATTGTTTGCAATCCTACAGTTAAGAGACTGTCTCTCCTACGATACGTAGGACCTGTGTGAACGGTACCACAGTAACACACTCGTACATGTGCTGATTCAAACGGTCATAACTTTTGAAAAATCGAAAACGTACAGGGGTTTTTGCATATTTTTACCTATAAAGGTCTAAACTTAACGGCTGTGTAGGATAGAATCGTCAACCAGGTCCCAAATCCCAAAACTTAACGTCTAAATCAAGGTTATTTACGGCCATCGGCCGATGGCGATTTCTAGTGGTCAGAATATGCTAAAATTCGCCTTTTCGAATATATTGAGAGGGAAAATTCTAACTTTCTTGGCAAACTAGAAAGGTTTTTAAGCAATCTGATATAAATTCTGTGGCTTAACTATGCGAATAAAATATTTTACAATGTTACAAAATATGCCTATTTTTCAATTTTCGAGACGTTGCGACGGTCCCTACGGACTGGAAAATAATTATGGCCCCTAATGCAGTCAGAAAATTATTTCGAATCAAACCAAATCTAATTTAGTTCTTTCCTAGGTAAAGTCTTTCTGTTGATAGAGTTTCAGGAAAAATTATTTTTGACGCAAAATTGACCGGGTGGAAATAAGAGAGACAGCCTCTTAATAGGTGGTGGTTCTTTTGCAGACGAGCTTGAACTTCCTGATTCAGAGGCAGCAGCCGTTACACTTGGACAAGAAAAAAATGTTTGGTCTGCGATCGAAAATTAACAGCGATGTTGAGTATGGGTATTTCACATCCACAGATTGTCCTAAACGTCGGTGGGAGAGTATATATAATAGGGTAATGAAGTGTTATCACCTGACTGTAATAATAATAATAATAATGATAATAATAATAATTTATTTCTTATAAAGCGCTATTTACAATGACAGATCAATAGCGCTTTACAATTAGTATCTCTAAATACTAAAATCTCAACTAATTCAAAAAATAATTACATCTTACAGTTAACTTGGCTATATACAATTCATAACGTAACCACTACTGGAAGAATTGCCTGAAAAGAAAAGTCTTAATTGAATTCTTAAAAATTTCTTTGAAGAGTTTAAAGGCTGACGTTTCGAGCGTTAGTCCTTCGTCAGAGCGATTGGAGGAAAGTGTGGATTGTGTGTGCGTTTATGTGGAGAAAATGGAGCAAATAGTGGTTTTGGTTAGGTTCTCTATTAGATATCATCAAAAAAAGACGACCACAACTTTTATTTATCGGACTATAAAATGCATTACAAACAGACGAGATTACATCCGTTGTGAAACCTGCGCTTTGAAGCCAACACTCAAGGTATTTTGCTTCTGTCTGTAAGTTCTTCTACATTCCTTAACTATGAGACAGCTAACGTTCCGTTATGATGCCGCAACATCCATATAAGCCATTGTCTACTGTTTTTGTTGTGTACGCTCCATTATGGCGGGTCTTTCATACAAATTTTGATTGTAAGGATGGTTGAAGATTGTGTAAGTTCGTTTTCCTTTATTGATATGTGAAGCTCTATTGGGCTGTTTGCATTTAGTGACATGGAGTAAATATGATTTCCAAACTTTAGATTTTTCTTCTGCCGTCAAACGAAATCCGCAAAGGAATACGAAGAAGGTAGTGTAAGAGAATAAGGAGGGGCCGAAAAGATAGCAAGGTACGGACTCCAGAAATTGGAAACAAATACATGCAAATCTGATGGTGCCTAAGTGTACACTTTGGGAATTATTCTTGTAAATTATTAACCAAACTACCAATTTCAAGCATAAGTCTTTACACCGTATCATCAGTATGTATAGTTTCCATACTGTTTTCCATACATTTCCTTAAGTGCTGAGAAGGAGAATTTGTTTAGCAATCTAGAGCTTCTTTGGTATGTGATCATTTCCTTTATTCTTCGGTGTGATTCAGGGGTGATATTGTAAGGAAAATAAGATGCTATTCTATTTCGAGAATCTCCTTTTAAGATTTTCTTCCTAATTTTCAGTACCATCAACAGGTGAAGCTGAAAACTGTGTCATAGAGAGAATGATAATTCCCTTCTTCTGTGACAAACGAGGGAAAAACTTATCTTGGCACAAAGAAAAATCTTATTAAAATTTAGTGTCAACTCCGTGCTCATCTTTGAAAGATTAAAGACGTAACTTTCAGCTTTGTTTTTCACAAACAAAAGGAAGTCGCCTCCCGCAGCTGGTTCTAATAACTAAGGTTTCAGTTGGTCACGCAATAACGAAGAGTGCATGCGCCTGGTTTAACAAGCTTGTAAACGAAAAATTCTCCACAACTCTTCACATCAATGGTGACTTTCCAGTTGCAACAGTTATCGCCCCAATGAAAACAAACGGTGCGAGCGACAACTCCTTCCTGGAGGGTGGGGTGACTCCCACTGAGCCAGCCGGGTGCATCTGTGTTACACATATTCTTTGGCACACAAGTTGTAGGCATCTTTGAGCCTGCAGTGCTGTTAAAGCGGTACCAGCCTCCAGAAAAGGCGTCGTCACATTTCTTTGACCCACCTGATTGATATGCTATGCTGCGGTCTTCCTCTGTGTCGAGTAAGTAAGAGCTGCACTCTGCTCCTGGAAAGTAAGTCAAACTTTTTCCTTATTATCCGAATGCGTAGTCGGTATCGCTAGAAATTTCACAGTTGTTTTGCGCACATTATAGAAATAATGGTATTTTTTTCAATGGAAAGCTTCAGCTTCCCTTAAAAGTGTATGATAATATGATTTAAAAGAAACTTGATTTTCCCTCTACAAAACATGGTGCTGGGTGGAAAAAGTCAATATGGCACCTTAAGGATCATAGCGTATTTGGTATGAGCAATTGTTCCTAAAGAAGCATGAGAGGCTCCTGCTTTATTTTCAATGAGGGAGAGGGAGCAGCAGGGGGAGGAGCCTTAGCCCCACCCACCTCCCCCCCTCCCCCCAATCCTCCCTTAAAAATTCGATGCCTACAGTCAACGAAAGCGTACCATAAAACCGGCATCCTACAATGCAGAAGGAAAGTTGGAAACAACAACTTACCCATGCCCAGTTCACAATGTTTGCCAAACAATGGTGATGTGCAGGAGCAATTAAAACCATTTACCAAATCAATACACGTGCCTCCATTCAGACACGGATTGCTGGAGCACTCGTCAATGTCTACGTCCGATTGACCGATTGAAAAAAACAAAAACCAAAGGTAACTGTTTAATTAACTAACCGTTACTTCAGTTGTCCACAATATTTATGATAAATTGTTCTCGCACAATTCATAAGCCACATTAACGAGAAATACTTTTCGCGCACATTGATTTTCTAACTTGGAGATGATTTACAAAGCGCTGCTCGCCTCCAGTCTCCTTCGCAGCCTTTCTTAAACTCGCTACGCAACGCTCCTCCTCACTAATGGTTGTTTAATTTAGAACTACATCACTTTCCCTTTTCTGACCAATTAGATTTTGGTTCCTAAACTCTGAAACCATTCGCACCTCTAGAGGGAATTCCATGCCACTGTCAATTTGATAACTAACAGAAAGTGACTCTTGATAAAAGACACAAAACAAAAGCAAAACGGAAATAAAAAATTACTGCTAATGAGTGTCGTACGGAACAAAATTACCAGCTAAATTCACGATAATTTGTTGTATTGTCAGTAAAAGTAATTTTTTGGTGCATTTATTCTTGGCTTAATTAACTGTTGATAAAGTAAACTTCATTCACAAATTCATACCTAAATAATTATTCGGTTAACAATCGTTAAGAAAAAACTTACCAATTTCACAGTGCTCCCCAGTGTACCCTGGTAAGCATCGACACTTGTACTGTCCCTTCCCGTAGAAGTCACACTTTGCACCATTCTGGCACGGGTTACCTGAACACTCTACAGTCACTGGGGGAAAAAATGGCTAAATCGGTAAAGTTTCACGAAATAAGTTTCAGTCAAAAAAATGAAATCTAGCCTGGGTCATCTTAGTTGTGTTTTATTCTTAGGGAGGTCATTTTATTTTGATATAGGCATCAGCAAACTTCCATAAAAGAGAGGAACGAAATGCGATAGACTGCTACCCCTCCTCTGGCCCAACAACAGTCAACTGATAACAAAGAAGTGTGCATACACTGATGCGCAGTTGTTCAGATACTGATCCAAGATATGCCACAAGATTCGCAGACACAACTTAGCCCCTTACTCAATATTTAACATAAGGATTTTTATAAGAATTTCAACAATCCTCAAGTTCACACAAAGTTTTCATTAGATCTTACCTTCTCTATCCATATCGCAATAAGCGCTTACAGGTTGGTCTCCAGCTCCTTTCGAGGTTAGCCAATATCTACCACTAGGGGCCAGTCCTTCGGAGGCGTTTTTAATCTCTTGGCATGATGAGGCTGGGAGTACTGGTGACGAACCAAGAAAAGCTGTAAAGTAATAATAGTTCATTTCCGTTTTACATAAGAAAGACACTCGAGGCTAACTTCACAACAGATTATTTCATCTCCTTTTCCGACTCTGAATATCTGTTTGAATGCAAAGAAGAAGATGTTTAAAACTGCTGAACCTTTATTGCAAATCTGGGTCCGAACCCAACCCGACCAGCGAAATCTTACTCGAAATTCTACTCAAATATCCAATTTGAAATTGAACTGTGAGGTCTAAACAGTAAACCATTTTAAATCTGGTTTTGAATCCTACCTTGGTGACAAATATTTGTGAGCATTATATTTTCATAGGTAAATTTTTAAGATAAAAGTTTTTAGTTTCTGTGGCATACTTCGTCGTTAAAACACTAAAAAATCAACCACTGGGCTGGATTTTCTTGGTTTATAACAGAGGGCAAAATGAATTAAAGCTGACTGGCTGAGACCGAAGGTACTTTTCATCAATTGCCGCGGCCAAAACGACTTAAAACGAGAATATTAAAAGAAGCTTAATTTTGCCTAAAGGTGTGATAATTCATAAGTAGCGAATGCTTTTTAGCAGGGCTGAAAAGAAAAACAGAACAAAACAAAAAAACACGTGATATTAAGACTTAATTTTACTCGGCCTCATGCTATTTACCTGTACTTAAAAGCATTTCTTTTAGTGATAATGCAGTATCCAAAATTCTGAGAGTGATGGTAATATGATCAAAATTAAGTTAGTGTACAGTCGAAAACTTTTGTCAGGTATCTTATTGATTTATGAATAAAAAAAATTGTCTATCCGCTTTCACAGGCAAAAGACAGACGTTTGTCCAACGTACAATATATTTCATACAACAAACATTAAATTATTCCGTAGCTAGTTTTAACAAATGAAAGGTATCAAACGGCTTTGCTTTGTAGATGATACGTCTTGCTGATAATTTGAAATCAGCTGCTATTGCTATTTATTCATCGTTTGATTGAGAAAGCAAGCAACGGTCTTAGTTGAAAAAATTGTGTGCGTGGAAATAAACGTGGGCCAAAGAGACGCCCTCCTGTTTTGAGCTGAAATGAATTTCCAAAAAAGAAAAATACGGCGGTGGGAAAGCTTTGAAAAAAGAAAAAAAAACCAAACACATTTACATTCAACTTAAACGTTATATACTGACCATATTTGGAAAATGTTTATTTTTGTTTGATGTTAATATTTATCATTTGCCGTTTGATGGTCGGAAATTATGCATTACATTAAGTCTCAAAATTTTCAAAAGACGTGGAAAATATGAAATTGGTGTAAAATCAAACGGATTAGCTCTAAAAAGAGGGCACTCTGACCCTAAGCAAACATAAACTTTGATTTTCAACATTGCCTACGAAAAAATCCCTAACTTGTCTAGGTCTATTTTCAAAAGTGCTTTTAACTTAAAATGGGTTGATATTCGGCTGCGAAAACATTCTGTGACAGAGATCCATTAAAGCTGTTAGACTTAAAAACAGATTCATTTTTTGAAAGAAAAGAAAGGGCCGCTCTGCAACTCACCCGCGTTGCGTTTGTTACTTGAAGCTTATATTATGTTATATGAGATGTTTAAGACGAAAAAAATACTCTGAATTTTAATTAATCTAAGTTACCTCGAAACGGATTTTCCAAGTAAATTATATTTGAATTTGGCACAAAATGGTACGGTCTCACCAAACGTGTTCGGTTGTTCAACTCGCACAAGTTGCTGTCTTTGTTGAAGTTTATGCTTTGGCAGATGTCATCTCCTTTGCAAAGGTAGTAACAGGAAAACATATCCTGTGTCCTAACAGCTTTGAATGCTTGTTTCAAGAGACTGAATCTTTGAATGGAAGTGACGCATTTATCACCAAGTAAACTATTGCTGAACACGATTGGCAACCATAAGATGGAGTAAAAATAGATCAGTTTGATGAAGTGTGCACGATGAAACTTTGAAAACGTCTGTGGATAAAAGCAGAGCAACATCATCTATTGGAAATAAACTGTCCCTAACTATAATAGTATGTGTGAATCGTAGAATGACCAAAATAGTCTTCAAAAGCTACTCTTTCTAATATAATTTCTTACCATTTCTGAAGGCATTTCCTGTGTGTGCTGGAGAGAAGGAAAAATTGTTGCTGAAAATTAGATTTTCTTTTCATTAAATATAGCGACAGAGAGGAAAAATAGAGCGAACGCGGGCTTTTTCCTTTGGATAAATAAACCAGAAAGCTTCCAGTTTATGCCACCTGCTTTCTTTAAGTAAGACGTAGTAGATTCGGTCAATGGCTGTGTTTTGTAATTAAATAAGCCAGGTGACAGATTGCCCCGAAATAGCCCTAACTTAATTTTTTTGTGTGTAACTTATGCCGCGTTAATAATTCGTATTTTTTATTTTTAGCTGGTGAAATTGTTTGAAAAGGAAAATGAAATGAGCAATCATTAAATCTTAAAATGAACACACATTTTTATGGTTAGATTCACCAGCTTTCTGTGTGTATCAATAATAACTTCTAGGTTTAAGATGTTACGGTAGAATATAATAACATGCGTTAAAATTGGCATGGCTTAAACGAAAGTAAACAGGTCAAAAACCTGCGATTGTCTGATTATAACTTGACATTCGTTTGTGAAATTTAACTAATAATCGGCGAACGGGAGGGATTGAAGCGAGAGAGTGTCGAAATGGAATGTATTCATTACTTTTCCTTTAACTGTATTGTGATTGTTTCCCAAACATCACGCCACAAATTGCAAAAGCAATATCAATCTTAAATCGCTATTTCTTTGTAATACGCAGTTGTTGTCAGTTGTTGTGGCTAATCGTGAGTGAATAACATCTAATTCTTTCCTTAAAGTATCACCACTGAATCAAACCTGATGGTCACGAGAGTAGAGGAAATGATCAATGACTGAAGAAGCTCCTCGTTGATAAACAATTCTTCCTTGTCACCTACGGAAATGTAGAAAGAACGGTATGTAAAATGTGCATAACTAAGGCAGCGCGCAAACAATGACCATGTTACGCGAAGCAAGGTAGGCGCTAATCCAGGTTTGACTGCCATGGCAACGCATAATTCCCACACACAGTAACACCCGGATTGGCATGGATCAGTGCTATAACAATTACACTAGGTAACACCAATTGGACCGAGCATGGACCAGTTCAAAGCAGGTATAAGACAACTTTCACTTGGTGTCGAATAGACATAAAAAAGGTAGTACAGTTATCAGTGTGTATTCAATCGTTTTTTTTTCCGTTTTTTATTCCTTTCAAATCAATAACCTATTCGCAACTTACATTACTAACAACAAAGAGCACTCAAAAGAAAATTTCACCTGAGAAACGTCGGGCAACTGAATGATCTCTCATTGCTAAACAAATTTAACACAACATGCATGCGTGACCTGGCCCCGAAGGTTGGATAACGCTATCAACTGGATCATTCTCTATTCAGTAGATAGCGAAGGAGGTTTTGCTAACACTCGTCCACCGGATAGCGATTTATCTGTTGGATAGTGTAATTCGCCCTACAAACAGCTGGGGCCTGATCCCCTCAAATTACCAACTACTAACCAATGCAGTTGCAGATATCAGAACTGTGCTCTGGTAGGGGCAGCCCAGGCGCCACAAGCGACTCGCTGTTATCTTTATGCGAGTTAAATAACAGTGTTTTGAACGATGACAAGACGTAGTATCCAACATTTCCAACACAAGAGTCTTCTTATTAGTGATATCCAGTTATTCTTCCAAAAGCACAGGCTTGGACTTAAATAATCTGTCAGTTTCTTTATGAATAGCTAGGATAGGATTAAACAAAGATTGTGACCGGATGCAGATCTCATTCCAAAGGAAGGGATTTTATCTCAGTTCATTTTTTAACTCGAGGTATCAGTTATCCCAGGACTAATGCAACATATACCTTCCGTGTTCCTTGAAGAGACCTTGAGAATACCAAGACGTGAACGGCAACGAGAACTTAGAGAAACAGAGGTTTAATGAGCACAGCAATAGCTCCGCACGTGCATTTAAAAAAAAATGTTTACTCTATAGCCATCCAATTCCAAAAAATGACAATGTGAAAACACCAACGTCTGTGTTGACACTGATGGAAAATTAATCAGGTTTGTAGATGAACTTGCCTATTTATATCGAAGCGAGGTGAGGTCCAGCACCCTTAAAAAGAGTAAACACATACAACCATTCATGACAATCTTAAGGATGCTCGAAAGGGTTTTTCGTTGTTGCAGTGTTTGTGAAACGATGGAAGATACAAAGAAGGATATTTGATGGAGTGGGAAAACTTTGTCTCCTTGCAATTCTATTGCTGGGCTATACTTTGAAGGTACTTGTGACGTCATATCAGTTACCATGGCAACGCAAAGGTCCACAAAAACGTCCACTAAATGTTAGTTTTTGTAAATTATCTGAAAAACTAATTCGGTGACCTACCATTTTTATTTCTTTGTTGGAAAGTTCCCTAAATTCTTTGACTTTTCAGACAGTACGGAAAAAATTTATCTCGTAGAATTAAATATATTTAAAGAAAATGCGATTTATGGCTTACAGAAAATTCTATTGGATAATTTTTCCCGAAACTTTTATATTTGAAGTGCCATCGTGAATGGTGCGTGCATGCAAAAAATCAAGATAGGTCACCGAACAAAATTTCGAGCTAGAAACAGATGTATTTCGCCGATTTTATTTCCGGTTCGCGCAATTTCAAGCAACATTTAACTTCCGGTGTGCTGATTTTTATTCATTCTGCTGACGCGTGCATCTTAGTTATGGCGTGTGTAGATTGCGTGCGCGCGCGTGCATCTAAAAACCCTTTCCAGCCTCCTTAAGATAATCGAAGTATTCTTTAGCGTCGCTGTTCCGACTGCATAAGGTCATGATAACTTAGTGGTGAGGAAAACGAATGGACGCCGCTTGGGTTGTCTACATGAGAAAAATTCGAAACACACGATTGCCTATTCCTCCAGCATATCTGAAAACGGGAGTGATTTATAAATGAATGGCCGTTTTATGCTAGAGACGTTAAAGTTGTCTAAGACGTTAAAGTCGTCTCGAGACTTTAAATTCGAGACGGTAAACTACCGTTTTTATACTTGACGTTGACGTCGTCTCGAGACGACTTTAACGTCTTAGACAACTTTAACGTCTCTAACTTAAAAACGGCCAATAACTGGAGATCGATTGCCGAATAAATAAAGCCTGAATGGGGATCCAGTCCCCTAGCTTCATCGTCTCTCAGGAAAGCTCCTGGTTTTCCTGGTTAATCAGTCACGGATGAACTACATGTTTATAAGCATGGCCATGCTGCCGATTTAAAGGGAGACATTGCCTTTTCAAATCTCCATAATTCTCAACATCCTTTATAATCCAGGAAGCAACACGTGTCCTAACATGCCATGTCACGTGGTGACCTGCTTGACTAAATGGAGTCTTGCCAGACCCGAAGCGCAACCTGAAGCGAGCCACATGTAGGATTGTTTATTGGGATTAAAACGGACCTGGAAAAAAAAACAACAACGATAAACTTGACATATGAATCAAACCAGAAGATGAAAGTGGTCACAACAAAAGTAGTCAGTGAAAAAATTCAATGTCTTTCTAACCCTTTAACTCCCAAGATCTGATTGTTAATTCTCCTTTCTAGCTGCTACACAATTCCTTGTAAATTATTTACGAGAGTTTGGTGTTAGATCAAGAAAGCAACTTCTAGCTGATAAGTTTAAGTATTCTCATTACCTGTATGGGGAGATATCGGGATAGAGAGAAGTTACACATTAATCACTTGTGGGGGTTAAAGGTTAACTTGAATTCGAAATGGTGGAATTGACGTAAATAAGGCTTTTCAAAACTCAAGCTTTCAAGATTACATTGTAAATGTGAAGCGACACTACCTCTTAACATAAATAACTCCAAAATGAGTTTGAAATTCCTAACCACTGACATTTCCAGAATCAAAGTACACATTGTAGGTGGTAATCACACAAAGTTTCAAATAAATGAAATAAAGTGGGCGTTTGTAAGGTTTTGGGTAAATTCAATAGCCCAGGGGTCCGAATCTCGAAAGTCCCGAAACCATATTTTGAAAGAATAGAGAACCAGGTTCTGTCACCCTACTAAATTCAGCTAATACTTCTTTATTAAAATTTTCAAACCCTTTTAAACACCCATCTTAAATGGAAACATAACAACTTTGCGGGCCTGGGGCCCTTTTCTTGAAGTTCCTGAGGGCCCGTTCCTCGAAAGTCCGGAAACTCAACAGGCCCGATACCATATCTTAGAATCAAAACTTAAACACTGGAGACGCAGGTTCTGGCACCCTAACCAATCCATTCTGTTTCTTAAGCTGAAATTTTTGCTGGATAACTTTTGAAAAATTTTAAACCCTTCGGGTGAATGAAAACATAACAGGTTTGCGGGCCCGATAAGTTACCGGGACCTTCGAGGAACGAGCCAAAGGTAACTCTACGGGCCCGTAAAGCTGTTCTGTTTTCACTATACTGAAGATGGGAATTTCAAGTTTTGAAATTTTTATAATAGATTCATCAGCTAGAGAAACAAAGTGGACTGGTTTGAGAGCCACAAAATAATTTGCTTTTTTTTCAATTTTGATTTTAAAATATAGCTTCAGGCCTGATAAGTTACCGGGACTTTCGAGAAATGGGCGTCGGGTAACAAAAACGACTCTGAATAAGACCATCTTCTTAATTTTTGTCGCATGTAGTTCTTAAATCAGGTGCTTTCTTGTAGTGTAGACCCTTTTCCTCACCATTAATTTTAAAAGTTTCGTTTACTTTTCATTGGAAAGGGTAGTTTGATACTGCTGAAGTAATGACGAGAAGATTTTACCACAACTCACGCATGTCACGAATATTTCGCACCTTATGTATCGCTTGAGGATTGGCAAATTGATCATACGGAATGGTTTGCATAGTGCTCGGCGAAAGAAGGCGTTTGAAATCTGGATCTGACTTGTCAACTCTGTCCTTAAACTCCAACTAAAAGAGGAGACGAAAAACATACATATGCATCATGTCGCCAAATGATCATAAGCAAAATATTTCACCTGTTACTTTGTGATACGAAAAAATATCATGAGCGTTATTTTCACAGACGTAAGTGAATCAATAGTAAAAGAATAAATAAATAACTTGATAGATAGATGGATGAGTGAATGAATAAGTAGAGAAGGAGAGACCGAAAAAGTCACCCAGAGTGTTAATAAGCGAAAGATGATGTTATTCGGTGAACGAAACAGTCAAACTTGAAGAAAAGAACTCTGGGCGCTCCTAATAGAAGTCAAACCCAGGACCTTCTGACTAGTACTTCGGATGCTCTACTATTGAGCTGTAGGAGACTCGTGGCAGGCTTGGCCGCTTAACTAGGTCCACGGTGACAAACTTTCTGCATACCACAAGGATAAGATTGTCGACAAGTGACGCTTCTGCTCAATGATGATGTAAATTTTTTAAGTGGAAGATGATGCTATTTGATGAACGAAACTAGCATACTGAGAGAAACGGAACTCCAAGTGCTCCCTATGGGAGTCGAACATACGACCTTCCGATTAAGAAACTTACTGCATTAACATCATGAAACACAAGTCTGTGTTTCTCAAACACTTCTCCTAAAGTCTTTGGTGGAGTGGGTGTTCCCTTTTTTGCGTCACCATCTGTTTTCCCAGACGCATTGGTGGTTTCCATCATCTCGTCTGCATCTGATTTCGAGGTTGACACGTTCACTGAAGATTTTTCTTTAGAAGCAAGGATTTCTTTCATCTTCCTGTCAGCAGATGAACCATTGTCACCGGCAGAACCATCCGTTTGAGTTTCCTCGACTGAGTCAGCGTTTTTCTGTTCTCTTTGAGAAAAATCTTCCTTATTTTGTTCACTAGATGAAGAATTACCAGCAATTTCTTCCAAAAACGCCCTGTAAATGCCCTTGAAGAAATAATAATAATAAATATAAGATTTTTGGCTGTTGGAACGAGCCTCGCTTTCTTCGCTCACCTGTCGCTTCCGTTCTTACAAACACAGTTTCCATTTTTTTTCAGTGAGGATGTGGGTGAGAATCTCGAGCAATGACAAACCAAAAGAACAGGTGATAAGTGATACAACGAATACGTCTTTTTGTATGAATGCGTCAAGAAAATATATAACCAACTTAATTAGCCGAGTTACTTTTCCAAACGATCTTTTCGAGAGTAAATGTCTGATGAAAAATGACCAGCGATTGTAATATAACTAGTCAGTAAGTAACTGCTGTGAGTTGTTCGAGTGAAAATGTCGTTCAACGATATATGGGATCATCTGATTAAATATGACATTATCAGGGTTACAGACTTAATGTAGCGAAAAGCTTCTACCTTGCGGAGATCAATATTAGACATCTAAAAGTTTAACACTCATTCTTACAAATCTAGCAAACGTTTTCCGTTTCTTCGGTAAGACATGGACAGCTACAACCTCGCCGGCAGCATCGCCACAGGCCAAGATGTTCGACCACTCAGACATCGATATACTCTGTTGGGGCGTAAAAAAAAGCTCATTACCTGTTATCCTCAGGCCAAATATGACTAATTTCCTGTATAAGGGCGCTTTTTGATTGAGTGTCGTGAAAACAAAACCCGAAATTAACGGCCAATCAGAGGAAAGAAAAGTACCATCAAGAGCCAATAAGATTTCAAAGAAAAAAAAAACCACCCAAATGCCAAAAGTGCGGGAAAAGGCGAGCGACCACGTCGTGATTGGTTTAAGTTTTGCAGCACGAGTTTTCTGGACCAATGACAGAGCGAAGTAATAAAAAAAAAACAAAAACAACAAAGCAATCCCGGTTTACCTTCGACACTTATTTGAAAATTACTCTTTAACCCTTTACACTCTAACATCAGTATGCACATTCTCCACACTGTACTTTATACATTTCCAAAGGTGCTGACAAGGAGAATTTGTTTGCTAATCAAAAGGTTCCCTCCCTGGTGACCATTTCCTTTATTCTCATGACCTTAATGTGTGATTCAGGAGTGATATTGTAGGGAGAAATTAGATGCCAGTCACTCTTAGGGGTTAAAGGGTTAAATGATTAATCGCCACGGTAGGCTAACTTACGGCACGAATCCGTAAATGTATAAGGAAAAAGTACGCAGGGAGACTGGGTGATGCGGTCACATTCACCAGGGAGAGGGAGGGGAAAAAAGTGCTTCCCAAGGCCAATCGCGAATGACTGTCCTAATCTATGTAATGAAGGCCGCAAAGGTCACACTCGAAAGAGCTTACCAAGAAAACCAAGATTGAGAGGGGCAGTAGTGGGATCTTTTAGTGAGCTCATTAGGAAGGGAGTCGGTGAAAAGGATGATTGTATATCGAGAATTTCTTAGACAAAGTACATACCCAGATTGTGCAGTTATGCGTGGACGCTAGATTGGTCAATCTCTCATCTTTGTTAGTTTGGAATGTGAAGTATCTTGCAACGCACGGGTACGTCAGATTCTGAAATGCATCGTCTTCACAGCTCATAATATTAGCAAAACCGTACGGCCAATGAATCTCATGCGGTACACCTGTAAGTTGTGAGGCAAAAAAAAAAAAAGATTTAAATATCGCTCTAAAAACTCAATTTTGCTTCAATGCTAATTTTGGACCTCATCGTAGAAACCAAGTTAGCCTACAAGCACGTCTCATTGTAAGCGCTTCTGCACGAGTTTTTCTTCGCCCGCAGATAAGTAGGGTTCCTTGAGAAACGCAAGTCGAAAGAGGTCTGCAAGGGGTCTAGCACTGAATCACCGAGGCCCACTGCTTACGTAAAACCACGGTTTGGGTTAGACCTTGTGTAAATGACCGACCCTCATAGTTCAGTGGTATAAAGTGCTAATCGGAAAGTCGCAAGTTCCACTTCCATTGAGAGCACTAAGAGTTCCTTTTATTTATTTATTTATTTATTTATTCATTTATTAATTAGCGATATTTATGCAGGCTTGCCCAGTTCAGCTTCAAGCAGGTTTGAATAGAGGCCTGCTTAGGAGATATTACGTAGAAAAAAATGGACTTAGAAATATAAAACACAAGAGGAGCCCACAACAAATTACAATTTACACTTAAGATAAAAAGCATACATTACATTTTATAGTACATCGCATCAATTACATAAATGAAGTTTGAGAAGTTTCTTAAAATTAGGCCGGCAGTTAAGTCATGTTACGTAGTTTATTGGTCAGAGTATTCCACGCATTTGCACCTTTGTAACTAAAGGAACCTTAATATTTCGATGTTTTAGCAGGGGTAATTGCAAAAGGTCTCTATATCTGGTATTGAAGGCATAATATTTGCAGGAAAAACTATATCCATTCAAGGGATAGGCGAGCGCGAGACCGTGTAGGCATTTAAACGCTTGGAGGCAAGTGTGATATTTCGAGTAATTTTCTAAGGAGGGCCAGCAAAAAGTACCGCCTGCTCTTTCTACTTTACGTCCTTCGATGATAAGAGCTGTTCGAAGTTGCAATTTGTTCAGGAAGTCTCGATTTGTTTTTCCGCAGCCATCCCAGATTACTCAGCAGTAGTTGAACAGTGAAAGTATCATTGGGTCATAGAATGTGCTCCTTTTGTGTCATTCACTGAATAAGTTCATCTTTCACATAAATAAAAGTGTTCATTAAGCACCCCAGTGACCACCTCTTTTAAATGGGCATAATTCACCGGTCATGTAATTCGTAACAGTTACTTTCTTTTTCATGTAAACAATAAAATGAAGCGAAGTTGATTCAAACGGGTACCTCGTTTTATGACAGCTACTGGCATCAAGGGAGACTTAAGATCCCACACTTTATACAATCGATCATAACTCCCTGGAAATCAGACACAAAGACATATAGTTAACCCTTTGACCTCAAGAGTGACTGGCATCTAATTTCTCCTCACAATATCATCCCCCGAATCAAACATTAAGGTCATGAGAATAATGGAAATGATCACCCACAAAAGAAACTCTTGATTGTTAGACAAATTCTCCTTGTCAGCACCTTAGGCAATGTATGGAGAACAGTATGAGGAAAATTTATACTGACGCCAGGGTGAAAAGGGGCAACTGATACAACTCACGATATCAAAAAGATCAAACGGTGAAAAATGTGACATGAAATGCGTTGTGGTATCAAGGAAAC